AGAGGTGAAGGCTGCAGTTGGGTATTTCAGATATCGTGCATATGACACCAAATGATACAGGCTTGAAAAAGCAGCTTTGAAAAAGAGGAAGGTGACATAAAAAGAGGTAAATAAGCCTTTTCTTTCACAAGCCTTCAACAACAGCAGCAGCTGTACAAACTTGCCAGTCTTCCCTCAGTTTTTTTGAGTAACCCAACACCCCTGGCAGGGTCCCCTGGGGCACCGCAGCTCCGGCTCCACCCTAGCAAGTCCCACAGAGAGCTGGCAAAGGGGCACAACCCATGCCCTTTCACCCTCCAGAGGAAAGGAAAAGCTTCGTCTCTCACTCAGGGCACCCACCTCAGGGCAGGAGCAGAGTCTGTCTCCCATGCCGAAACCAGGCACCAAGGGCCAACACACTCCCGTGGGGTGTGACTGTGGGTGCAGCAGCCCCACGTCACTGCCAGCAGCTTCTGGCTCTTGGGAAACACAGGCACCACTCCCAGGCTCACTGCTGCCTCCGAGAAGGTCCTGGTCCTGCTCTCTGGGGTGTACATACTTACTGATCATCACTTGGAGCCTTTGCTGGCAATTGCTAAATTCTTTCTTTTTAATTCTGATTAATAGGAAAGTAAAATGGGGGACAATTCTTTTGCTCTGTTTTGGGCAACAGTTTGCGTCTTCTGGTCATGGACTGTAAAGCTGGTGAAGCTCCCACTAAGCCGCAGTACTGCAGCACTGACTACTGACTAAATACATCCTGAAACTTTCCAGACATTCCCAAAAGACTTCTGACATTGAGGGCCTTTGATGTCAGCTTCTTCAGGAGCTTTTTAACCTTTAGATTTTATTTTACCATTGGAATGCTTTCAAAGTCATTCTTCAATGGCTGTTAATTTTTTAAAATATCTTGAAAAATGTTTTACTCTCCTTCTTGACATTTCTGTGTTCTTAATTTTTTTCCACAAATTTATATATGCACACAGGCACATTCTTGTGTCATACTTTTTTTTTTAATCATTTGAAGACTTTTTAGTCTATTCTTTCTGGGCACACAGAAATAAATGTGAAAGTGACCACACAACACAGTTATAGCCTTCCAACAGGCTTAAATTACATTGTGGAAATAAGAGGTTTGTCAGCCTGAACATTATTTTGCATTTGTGGAATTTTTATATGTATGTGGCATTAAAACTATTTGCAGAGACTTTATAATTCAGACCCAATATTAGCGTTTGTCTGGATCTACTTACCAGATAATCTGGACACTTTTGAAGGTGTTTGCAAAAACATATTTCAAAGCCTCAACGTGTTTTTTTAACCTTTCTTCTTGCACTTCAACTACTTGCAGTACTCCTTTTTAATCACTTTGGGCACACTATTTCATTTCTATTCTGCTCGTTTCCCTCATTTTGATAGCTGCTTTTCTCCAGATCCTTTTAAGAAAAAGAAAAAAAAAAATAACAAATTTTCAGTACAGAGCTATTTGGATTCATTTTTAAAACATGATTACCTTCTTTTTTAAACCTTAGCTTTAATTTTTCAATTTTTACACTACTCTGATTTCCAAAATAAGTATAAAGATACTGTGGAAGAAGGAGTTTCTCTTTGTTATCCATCACACGAAGTGCCCATCAAGGAGTGGCTGGTACCACTTTCCAAAGCGCTCAGCCCAGGCAGCCAGTGCAAACCTCCTGCCTAACACAGGTGGACAGTTACCTTATTCCTAAGTATTACTGAAGTGCTCCAACACTCAACTGAGAAGAAATTTTTAAATGGTTTAATAGTAAAAGTAGGGAACGTTGTACTCCAAGAGATTCCAAAATATATTGCTTGACAGTGCCAAAATATTTGAAATAGATCCCAAAAAGCAACAAATTGGTCAAATGCTGACATCAAGAAATTATTAACAGAGGAAATATTTTCCAAGAAAAAGAAAACCAAATGGAACAAAGTGTCAAAAAATATATATATTTAAAATGCTACTAATGCAGTAATTCCAAAAGGTGTTTGCTTCAGTTCTTACAGCACATGTCTGTCTGAGGATTGACTTTAACCAAATAAGATATCGTTTCCAGGGATGAATATTCTCCTTGCCCGAACTCTGAGTCAGCTCCATTTACATGTCTTATGACCAGAGAGGGAAGCTTGCCTGAGCTAACTCTGCTGAAACTAGGTGCCTAATGCACCTTCAGCTGAAACAACAACAACAAAATCCAGTGAGGTATTTACCTTTACATGCCTCATACCACTGAAAATCTGACCGAGAGCCTTGAAGTCACATTCAGCAGAAAATCAGTTTACTTACTGATTGGAAATTTTACCTGCAGTTTAGCAAGTATAGGCTTTCTCTTCTGACCGACACCAGACGACACAGAGCTTATACAATTTTCTATCTATTGCCTATCATCTTGTGTGAATTACCAGTGCAGTAGAAAGAGAGGCTTGTTTTGGAGCAGCAGCAGTTGAGATGCTAAACTGTGATGCCTCACCTGTGAGACAGTGAGAATAGCCATAGGAAACAGAAAAGAAAAATCATGTTTGTTCTACTTGGGATCACTATTTATTCAAAGTGCAAAAAATATCCAGTAGAGTCTGTAAGACTTAACACATCCACAGTGAATGTCACAGGATGACCTCTCCATCCTCCCCTCCTCGCGAGCAAAGAGCGACAGCGCTGGCCCAGCCGCTGCCTCTCCCATTGCCGACTCACAGACCAAGTGTCAGGGCATGCCCCGATGGAGCAGGTGAGAGCTGCTCCTCGCCAGGGCTGGATGTGGCAAATTACCCAGCTCGTACCTCCAGGCACCCAAAAGGTAAATACCTCTCCTTTCCAGTCAGCTCCTGCAAACCTGAGTTACAGGAGAGTCTGTGGCTAGTAGGTCCACCCCGTTCACCGCAGAAGAACTTTAGGACAGCCTTGATTCTTCACGGCCAGCTTATCCATCCAGGGCCATGTCAGGCTGATTTCTGCACAGCCCAGTGCTGCTGCTGCTGCTATGAGCAGGAATCAGGCTCAAGAATACAGCAATCCTTGCAACTCATCCCAAAAACTGCTACTGGAAGAATGTATTTGTTCTACCTTGGAGAAAGAAGGTAGAAAATCTAAAAATCTAAAAATCATCCTGGGAAACGCAACTGTAGGAATAAGTAATAGATCTATTACATACTATGTATTTCATCAATTAATTGTTGTATTAAAATACATAATTTTGCAAAACATTATTTGTAAACCTATAAATCTATACAGTCCAGTGACAGAAATAGCATGCATTATTTTATACAGGGATTGACAAATTCTCCCAATACAAGTTCTTTATCATTAATGTAAGGAATACAGGGACCCCTATCAGAAACTGCTGTAATGTATTCCCTGTTGGTAGTATTTATGTTGAGATCAAATTACTTGCTTTTTCCATTCGGCCAAGTAATCTGACATAACTGAAACCCTTCTGTACAAGGAGGACTTGCAAAATCTATACAGGTCTCCCTTCCAAACAGTGAATTTTGTTAACCCACACTGTACATACACATCCAGAATGTGAGTGGAGATCCTTCTAATACATTTACAAATACACATTTCAAAACAATTTCAAAACAATTCAGCAAGGTTTATCAGTTATCATTTCAACTTGGCTGGATCTCTCCCGTTCAACATTTGGCAGAACATATATAATTTTATTAATGAAGAGTATTTATTACAAAGAGCAAAACTTTATATACAGTATTACTACATGGGGGACTGGAGTGGAAAATTACACAGCTGGGAAGTGCTTTGTGATAAGTACTCAGATCCAAATTCCAGTGGAGCTGCCAGACTTAAATAACTGATTAGCTCACCCTGGCTATGAAAATATGTTTAGATGAATATTAGACAGTTTTCTTCAGGGTTCTTGAACTTGTAAAATGTTTGAAACCCAAAAGTCCGCACTGAGCCTCTGCCACCACTGATGCCATGGTGGAAGTACGGCTGATGTGTGCCTGGCCAGCGGTCTACCACTGCATCACATACCCCTGCTCTGCACGGAGCAAGGTATTGTCATGACCAAAGCACAAGTGCCTCGCTGAGCCCCCTGGTCTTCACCACCAGTTTTGTCAGGAGAGTTGGCAGCAATGACAGGGCTAGTCTGGGAGATTTTTGCAGAACTGTCTAATGTAGGTTTTTCAGTATTATTACAAAGCATTACAACACCACACACAATGTGCAGAGTAGGCTATTGTATGATTTTTAACTAGCACACCTGATCTAAAACCTACTCTACTAATTACAATACAGCTAGAAAATGCCAGCTAGGACTGATACTGAAAGACCTGTCCAGTACTGTTGTTCAAGAAAATCTTAAGAAAGTGTTTAGGGCCAAAATGCAATCACAAAATGCTCTCTATTGTGTATTCTTAGGAGTGGATTGGGCTTTGTCTCTTGATTCCTATCTCCTTTGCACATTTCTCTGAATTCAGAGCATAGAGCTGTTATGATGTTGGACATGACAGAAAGGGTTGCTGTACATCTGTGTTTAGTGATCTATTAAACATCAAGCTGCATGTTTCATGCAAACATGGGGGATGTAAAAGGTGAGACTCTCAATCTTCACCTGCATAGGTACTTATATTAAAATTACTAAGCACTCCCCTGTTTGTCAACCAAAAGAACATCAAAAGAGCTGAGAATAAAATAGCATATTGCAGAGAAGGTACTAAACAACACCAAGCAGAGCGCACGCAGAAATGTTGCTTAATGTCCTCACACTCAGTGTGCACGCTTCATTTTACGAAAATAAAAGTGGTCCAGGAGAAGGAGGCCATTATCACAGAAGCTTTCAACTGGGTACAAAACAGCAAACCCCAAGTGGGATGAGCAACATGTCTCTGTAAAGCTTGGGCACTGTCTACCCTCTTACATCCTCCTCCAGAATGTGTCGGAGACAGAAGCATTGACAGGGCGGCCTGCAGTGATGGAACAGAGAGTTGTATATACAGCCACGTGCTTTCCACCTAGCAAGTCACTATCAGCCTAGTTACTATCAGCAAAAGTATTCGTTAGGTTGCCCCTCTATCTTTGGTATTGCTTCTGAGTCCACGCTTGATCGGGCAGACAGCAGCCTGTTTGACTCATCAGGGGTATGTCTAGTCAAGTATTCTCCTTCCACACCTTTTGCCTTGGCCCCAGGAGACAGGCTTTCAAAGGTGACATATGACTCCTGAATTTCCTTGGGTTTCCGCACAAAACATTTTTTGCAGCGCCTTTTCAGTGCTCCACAGCAGACCACAAGCGTCAGAGGAACAGCAATGACACATGCCACGCTGATGACAACCACATTGATGAGCTTCTGGGTCCCTCCTGCACTGACAACTTCGTCTGTGGAAAATATGATGCACTGCTCCTTCCTGGGGATCAGCCCTTTCACGCAGACACACACGATGTATTTGGTCTTTGGCAGCAGCCCATAAATGGTGACCTTGGTCTTCCCTGGCTCCACATTGATCCGCCGCATATCTCTCTCTCCAAAGATGGCGTAGAGGACACTGAACACTGTTGTGTTCTTTGCCAGAGGTGCCTTCCAGGCCAGGGTGATACTCTGGTCGGTGTCTCCTATCACCCTGACGGACCTCACCATTCGCTCCGGCTCCTGCTGACCAGTAGGCGGGCTCACCAGCAGGTTTCTGGGGTTGCTCTCTTGTGCCACATCTGGGAGGAGGAGGCCCTCTCCGGTGCCCGCTCCAGCCCCCAGGGTAGGCATAGTGGAGGTGGTGATAACGTACCTTGCCACTAGCTTGTCATTGTAGGCAGCAGCTTCCATCCCGCTTGCCTTCCCGCTCCACGCACCTTTGGCATTAGAGTTGGGGTCATCCGTGCTTTCTGAGTCTGTGATAATGAGAGATATGAACGCCTCTGTTGCCCCCAGAAAATTCTTTGCTTTACAGATGTACTCTCCAGAGTCGAGATAAGAGACTACAGGCAGGCCCAGAATAGACCAGCTCATCCCATCACTGGAAATCTCTTGGTGAACTGCAAGGAAGGAAAAATGTAAAATAAATAGGCAATAATAAACAGAATTAATAACATGTTTTGTAAAATATTAAGATCCAATCAGCCAAATGTCTGCTCAATACAGTAGAATCATCATTTCTTTTTGCCACCAACAACATTACAAAGTCAAAGTAAATCCAAGAAACAGTAACACTAAAATTAGGTTATGTTGAGATTTACACTGCTTCACACCAAATATATGTGAGGCTTTTGATGTTATTTCCTCCAAACTGTTTGAAAACAAAACAGGAAAGGTTCTTCCATTTTTTAAAAAAAAAAAAAAAGCTTAGAAGCTTTTGTGTAGGTGCAATATTTAAAAGAGTAGAAGGAGTAGGCAGCAACACGATCTCTTCGAACATTAGATGCAGTCCTCTGAGTCACAGAAAATACAAACAGTGGAGATTTTCTTCTAAAAATCATATATGGACTAGTCTAGAGTATATGAAGAAGACCAGCTGAAAAATAATATCCCTTTTACTGCTAAATTAGTAGTTTTTATATTGAGCCAAACACATGGAAGTCTGATCACTTACCACTGAACCACATGTACACAGCTGAGTGTTGATTTTCTCACTTAGTTTACCAGGAGGCTAAAACTATCAGTTTTGGCCTTTTTCTATTTGTGTATTAAAAAAGAGCTGGGATCATGCAGAAGGCTAATGCACCTTCTTCGTTATTTAACCAGCCTCCTCAGGATGAGCACGTACTGTCTCTGCCCTTTCCCACTGAAAGGTAAACCAGGGAGATGTCTGAAAGGCAAAGGTAAGACAAGATGCAAACGTCTCCTAAGCCCTCGTGGGGTCAGGATCCAGCCTTGGCAACCAGGGCATGTTCCAACGGCAGTGAAATACAATGACAGCAGAAGTTACTTTTTATGTTTAATCATTTACTGAATGGGTATATTAAAAACCATAAAGCTACTGGTCTTCCTACAGCACTTCCCCGTACATACAGACTGCACTTGCCCGTACATACAGACTGTGGGCTGTTTCTCACTCCCTTCTATTCAGAACACCAACATTTCAAACAGTCATATTATAGCATTTGCACAAAAGCTGCCGTTGCTGAGAAATAATGTATCTTTTCAGCCAACTTTTTATTGAAAGGTGCTAAAGTCTGATTTAATGGGGCACAAAATACATCATTCTCAGTTGTAGCTCAAAGTAAATTCAACATACGCTTTCAGGAAATAATTCTCTGTTTTATTTTTTGTTGTGGCTCTCTTTCAAGTGTAGGAGGGATGTTTGCAACACGATGGGTAGACATTATCATTATGAGGAGCAGCTCTGCTACATCCTGCACATCATGCACAACAGACCAATGACTTGTGCAGATCCCAAAAAAGCTTATTTATCACAAGTGGTTCTACTGCTGTGAAAGAAAAATGCTCTCTCCCCTGTTTCGGTGCACTGAGGAGCCCTGTAACCCTTTGAAGATCAGACCCCATATTTAGCGATTTATCTGCTGAGTTTAGACCCTCTATGAAAGTCAGGGCTAGGCCTGGGATACAGTAGCATTAGGGGAGGCTGGAGGGATGAAGGTTCAGGTCTTGACCTAAAACCTCTAGGGCAGAAAGCTAAGGACAATTGCCTGGAGTGCAGCAAAGGTTTCTTCCCTAAATTCCCCACACATTAAAGGGCCAACATTGCAATTTTAGGTCCAACCATTCTTGTGAAAGGAAATGAAAACAGGATCGGTCACAAAAACAGTGGCTGTTTGAAGGTTTCCCCCACAAGAGGGGCAAGCACAGAAGAGGGACCTGGTCAGTGTTTCTCCTACAGAGCATTTTCCCAAGAGACCTTGTGAATCCATCAGAAATGAACCGTTTATTGGAAGCAATATCACTGAAGTATTGTATCCTTCAGCAGTTTACTGGCTTTATTCTCTTTTAATACAGCAGTAATGTTGCATGTTTGCAACCTTTTCTTTCATTGCCACAGCAGATTTGAATCCCAGTTCAATTCTCATCAGACATATCTCTGCCAGAGATGTTTGCTAACTGATTAACAGTAGCTCATCATCAGTCTCAAAGACCCATAAAATAATTCAGTGGGAAGTCTTTTCAGTGACTGAATAACTAAATAACTAACTTAAACCGCCCCTTGCTACAGCTGGACATATTTTATCCCTTCAGCTCCAACAGATTTGCAGAAAACCCCTTGACTTGTCTCACCACCACAATTGTTATGAAACAAAGCAAAACCAACTTTTTACACATGATAGTATACATTTATCTGATGATATTTACATCAACATGTAAATAATTTTATAGTCTATAGAAAATCACAGTGCAACAGTGAATTACTTTTTTTTTTATCAGTCTTTTATCAGTGGGAAGGATCTATTGTCATAGAAGCTTCCATTTGTTGAACAGTCTGTATAAAATAAAGGTGCAGGTCTCCCTCACTCATTCCTTGTGTATGAGAGAAGCTTAAACCAAACCCACCTGTGCCATTTAGTTGAGCACCATCAGCTCTTCTCCAGCTGAGCTCAGGAATGGGCACCCCCGTTGTCCCACATCGCAGTAGCACAGTGCTGCCCAGGATGGTCTTTACTTTGGCTACGGACGTATGTACAACGGGGCTTTGACACTTCCTTAGCTCCACTTGGCTGAAAAAGACTCCTGCAAGGCTCCGGGGGGTGAAGCATTTCAGCCTGGGCTCAATGAACGCTATGTTAGGAGACTGGAAATTTAGGAAATGGACCATTTCATACAGACTGCAGTCACATACCCAAGGATTGTCTTGCAAGCCTGTCAAAATAAATCAGAGCACTAAGTCACTCCACCAGCACCTTTTGTTTCTGCCACTTTTGTTTCTA